ATATTTTCTAAAATTTTCTCAAAATAAGTCCAAAAATCTTTGAATTATATCGAAATTGGCTTGTTTGAAACGATTTAGCTCATTTTTAAATAAAAAAAGCTTCTATCGTTACAGCTATAAAATCCTCAAAAAACAGTAAGTTTTTGGGCCAGGGACTTACTTATTTTCCAAAATTTTATTAAACTAGCTAAAAAATTACCAACTTAGATCTAAATTGACGTTATTTGGTCTTTTTCAATATTCTTTATGCTCGTTTTTTTTTAACAATTTTTATTTTATTTTGTGAGATTTCATTTAAAAAGCTGAAAAACACCTAAAATTGACCTGTTTTCTACGATTTCGTATGAAATTGGGCCAGAAACATGTTGAATTTGCAAGGTTTTGACATAAATTAGCTAATAAAATAAAATCAACTATTTTTTTAAACAGTTTCAATTTAAAAACAAAAAAGCTCTCATTATGAAAGCCTAATTTATAGTTTCAAAATACCTATAAAACAGTAAAAAATGTAAAAAAAGTAATTTTTTATTTTAATTATATTATCACAGGTTTTATTGATTTTTGTATTTTTTTTACTAAGGCTGTTATCTAAGGGTTACAACTATCTAGGTACATTTTATTCAATTTTTATCGATAAAAATTTCATTTAAGTTGAAACAAAACAATTTTTTTCACTTTTCTAACGACAAATGATTGAAAAAAATGCTTAGTTTCTTACTTTTTGTAGTGTAATTGTTTTTTCTTTTATGACATTGATAATAATGAAATTTTCAGTCATATTTTGAGATTTTGTTGTTTTATAACAATGAGATTTTTAATATAAATTATAAAAAACTTATTTGATTCTTTCGCAACAACTAAAGATGAAACGCTTCGAATTAAAGAAAAAACATAATGTGCACCTCATCTACAAAATTGGTCAATAAAAATCGGCCTAATAGTTATTGAGTAATGATTTTTTAAAGTTAAAGTATTTTAAATTCATTTAAATTAGAAAAAAATTATTTAGTTCAAATGTGTGGACTTTTTGAAATTTTTTTAGTGCATTTGATTTGTCTTACTGAGACGAACAAAATGATATAAAATTTGTCAAGTTGTCACGACATGACTTTTTTTTGTCGCCCTGTGTTTCAAAATTTGTACCATTTTTTGTTCATCCTCGTCTTCATCACTGCTCGTGTCTTCACAATCACTTACAGCTTCTTCTTCGGACTCTTCTTCTTCTTCGGTTTCCGAGTCCTCGGACTCTTCTAAAGGGGAAGAGTCCGACACGAGACAAGCAGTTAGGCCATTTCTAAGTCGTATGACTCTAATAAAATAAGTTGTAATATTACCCCGAGTAAATTATTAATTACCTGTATTCCTTCTTATCACTTGCACTTTTAACAGGTGTGGGCAAAACTTGAAATTCTAAATTTGGGCTCAATTGTGGAATTGCAACATTGGAGAGCGATTTTTTTGGGGTTTTGTGTGACGTTTCACTTTTAGACTTACTTTCAAAAAGGGTTTTATTCATGACTAGCAATTTTTCGACGAAATGTGCCACACTCACCAATTGCCTTTTGAAAAAACTTAACCTAATTGTCATCTGTCAATTGACAATGTCAGATGACGCAGTAGCAGTCGATCTCTCTCTTGTCTGTTACTTTCCTATAACTGCGTCTTTGTCACCAATTGTTAATTCGTGTGAAGACGGCTCCAAACACGAAACCAATTTCACACTAGCAAAATAAGCTGCTGTAAATGTATGTTTGGTTGCCGACTTTAAAGTCTTTTAATAGGGGAAAAAAGTGAAAAAAAAAACAAAGCACCCTCACGAATAGGAAACAGGAAAACATTTTTAATGACTAAACAATATGTTATTCACTACAAATTAACTTTCGATTTATCCACTGCAAGCGGTTTACATCCCATTTCACCCCAAAACACATCTATAGAAAAAAATCTTAAACTCACTTTTTTTAGTAACAAACTTAGTTCCTTAATATGTAAAGCCTTTTTTACATTTAAAGCGCGGTTTACACAATCATGACCTACTGTTATGACAATTTTAATGAAATGGATTATATCTATAATAGTGCTATAAAAAATTGTTGAGAAAAAATAATGTGAAAAAAAAAATGGTAACATCGCAACTACATTATTTGAGAATAAATTGGTACAGATATATTTTTTCCTTTATAAAAAGCTAATTAAAAACCCTAAAAATGTACAAAAAGTGTCAATTTTCATAATAAAAAATAAAAAACAAACTAGATTTTCTTGTTTTAATTGGTAAAACATTTGGGATTTTTTGAAAATTGTTTTAGCTGTCAAATTAGTGGCAAATTTATTTTAAAAAATAACCCATAAAAGTAGTAATAAGGCTCCTTCAGAACACTTTGTTTTTTTAATGGTTCTACAAATCAACCCATTGAACAAAATTTTAATCATTTTGAGTTTGTTTTCAAAGGTATGTTTAAAAAAGCAATACTATATGGGCTTGTTCAGCACACACCGTTTTTTTTATCAAATCTGCCCCATTTTTCAAGGTACCTTTGTTAAACCTTAAAATTCGCCTTTTTGCTCAGTTTTTCTATTGGGCCACTTAAGTACACAACACGTTTTTATGGAGCCTGTCCTTTTTATCAGGTTTATTAAAAAAATCTAATATTTTAAGAGAAAAATAATTTATTGAATTAATTATCAAAAAGTAGCATACAAAATAATAATAACATAATTAAAATCGGTTGAACTGTCCCTAAATTTTCAAGAATAAAAAAAAAATTCTTAGTCGAATTATGGTAAGTTTCCTATTGTTGGCTTTCACTCTTCTTTCGGCTCTTTCGGAATTGAAAAATACTTTTGCACGTGTTTTGAAACCCATCCTTTCGCGTCGAAGACCCAACTGAAATAATCTCAGTTCTTCTATGCTTGAATTTTTTACCCCAAAACGTTGTGGCTCCATTGTTTTATCTGCAAATATGAATTTATTAAAAATTACCAAATTGGGTTGAAAATGACCTTTTTTACCATTTTTTGGGCGTTGTAGCACGTTTTTCAATTAGAAATTTACAAAATTATTTCGTCACAAATCGCTAAATTTACTCAAAAATCGTGTTATTTTTACTTTTTTAGATTCTGCTAAAAATTTTGTTCAAAAATAATACCATTTTTCCGTTTTAGGACGTTTTTTAGTCAGAATCGCAATTATTTTGAAAATTTTCGTCGAAAATGAGGTAAAAAATTAATAAATCATCACGAAACTAAAATTATTTTTGCTTCTTTGGAGAGTTTAAGCATGTTTTGAGCCAAAAGAAAAATCATCTGGTTGCTTTCCCAAACGTTGTATCAGATTTTTCAATCAAAATCACAAAACTTCGTCAAAAATAAGCCGAAAAATCACATAATTAATTCGAAAATGATGTTATTTTTGCTTTTTTCAAACATTTAGCTGCGTTTTTAAGTCTAAAACAAAGTTTTTTCTTCAATTTTTGCTAAAAAATATACCAAAATTAACACATAAACCAGACTAAATAAAAATACCACATAATTTATGCTCTTTTCGAGTGTTTTAAAACATTTTTCAATAAAAAACGCAATTATTTCGCAAAATTTTCTCAAAAATACGTCTGAAAGTAATTGAATTAAGTAAAAATAGTGTTATTTGTGCTTTTTTTAAACATTTATTTATTATTAATTATTTATTTAACTATTTTTTAACACCTTTATCCACTGTTTATTCAAGAATCCCAGTTGTACATAACGCCTTTAGCATTTGGTAATTTCATTCCTAATAGAAACCAACACTTAAAAGTCTTTTTCAATTAAACAATATTGCGAAAAAAATTGTTTTGAAAAAAAATACCAGTTTTCAAAAAAATGTTACAAAACACTCACCCCTTCAAATACGAACAGTTCTCGTAGTATGCGTCTAAACACTGTTGTGAAACAAAGGAAAATGAATAACAAAATTATAATAGTGATTGTAATAAATAACAAGTGTTGACTTAAAGAAAATGATGAATTTCTTAATGTATCTTAAATGCCTATACTTGTTTGAAAGAACAGAGTAAAATGAAATAGAAAGAAATGTACCTTTATTAATGTATTATTAATATGTTTGATGATGATATCAAATAAGCTTAGATTGAGATAAGCAACCAATTATTAACACACTAGAAACTTGATTTTGTCTTTTATATGCGAAGCACTAAATATTTCAAGTAAAAGAGCAAAAATAACTATTAAAAAAAATTAAGAATTTATGCACATGACCAAAAAGCAATATGAAATAAGTCATAATTTTAAGTTGCAATTTTAATTTCGAAAAACTTCAAACAAAGTTTGAGGTTCTCTCCTAATAGCCTATAGCAAAAAAACTTTTTTTCCAACAGAAATAAATAGAGTCAAAATTTTCTAATTTTCATGTTCCTGGAACCTTACCTTACATGGCATTTTTCTCTGAAGCGTGTGTTCTGGCGCACCCTGTATAATTAAAAAAAAAAATACAAACTGTCCCACTTAAGACTTGCGAGTCTAATATCTCTGTTATGTGCCAAGGAGGCATTTTTATGAAATTTAAAATGTAGCCAACTTAGAAGGTGGAGTTTCAATTAATATTAATAAAATTACCTCAGGATAAAAAAAAATAATTTACACATAGGTACTTTCTGAATTTGAAATTAAACGGAACTACTATGATATTGTTAAGCACTAAAAAATAGACTTCTACACAAAAAAAAATAACTAAATCACTCGTCTGAATCACCAGAAATACGTTGAAATAGGTTCATAAGAGCTTTTTTCTTCGATATCTCTCAACATTTTTTTTTCGAACACCATGTATATTGTCTATTACGTAATTAGATTAAATTATAGATGCGTTATCATTGGAGCCATCTGTTGGAGCCAAACCGAACATTTCCTTCTTTACCCAGAATTATACTCTAAAAATAAAGCTGGAATCAAAGAGGCGTTTTGCATTCAAAGACTTATTTAAATTCAAATGATTTGGTGTTGAAAGAATGTTATTTCTATAAGTAGATGAATCCGAATCTTAGTAAGCAAATTCTAATTATGGAAAACGTGAAAATAAGCGTTAAAACAGAAATATAAAATGAGTCAATGAGTAGGAGTGGTGCAGTTGGTGGGAGAATCAGCATCATTCTGGTCCTGCAGATGCTTTATTTCGACTCTGGGTCTTATGCCTGTTGTGTGTGTGGTTTTTGAATCATTAACTGAAACAAATAATTAAATACACAGGTGAGACTGTGTGTTTTTCAGTGATTTTATTGTTAAAAATCAAGTTTTTTTTCATTTTATACAAAAAAAAAAATTTTTAATCAGAAATATTAACAGCTTCTGGTAATGATGTGGATTTACTAAGTTCGGTGATATCATTCTTTTATTTCAATTTTTTTGGTATAATCCATATTATGTAAGCAAGTGCTAAAATTTTGCATTTCTCCTAGAGGCCGCAATAACATGTAACCTATACAAATAACCCAGGCCATGCCGTTTAGCTAATAATAGTTAACAGAACAAGCCGCTACCTTCTCTCTATCTTTAAACCAAGATTTAGGTTTTCGCTCAATTCAGTCATGTTATTTTTTCTACGATGTGGAAGCCAAGGTTAAATTTCCAGGATTTCAAAAATTACGATCAAGTTAAAAATAACTCAATTTTTGAATTAAAATTTGCTTACTGAAATCTGAAATGTTCATTCATCATGAAAAAGTGACATTTTGTTTTGATTTGGCACACTGGACACTACGTATTTGTCAAAAATAGATATTCCTTACTTTAGGGTAATTTTTGTGCCACTGGACAAGCAACATAAATCATAAAAATGTAAACAAACATATGTTAGGTGTGTGAAGCATTTGTAACTCAAACTTTATGAACTTATTTGTGTTTTTTGTGTTATTTTTAAGACTTACAAAATTTAGAGTTATCAGTGGGTGTTAACAGAGCTACAGATTTAAATTTTTATTTATTAACCGTTGTCAGTGGACTTGGCACAGATTTTAGACCATAAATTTGAAATGTTTTCAATGGTTTTTCTTTACTTACCTAAATTAGTTATCGGACCAAAAGTTAATCGCGTCATGATTTGTTTTAGTTTCAAAAACTCAAAAAACCGTAAAAAAACTGAAACGTTTTCTAAAATTGATTGATGAAATTAATCCATTTTTTACTTTACTTCTGTTTTTAAAGTGAGCATAATTAATTTATTGTTAATATTAATTACAAGG